TTCTAGGCCTAAATATGTATTCTTCTGACTGACCTTCTTGATGAAGTATCCATTGAAGTGAACATCACAGGTGACCATATGCGGAGTCAAGGGAGCAATATCAGCCAGTCTCTGGATTTCATGAATCACTGCATCTGTATACGGTAATTTCTTTCTATCTTCCACCACTGGCTGACGTCCACCGATCACTCGGTCAATCTCCTCATGAACTCGATCTGCACACAAATGCAACATATGTTTGTTCCTATAGACAACATTAGATTCAGCATTGAGAAAAACTCTTGGATTTACTGTGTTTTTTTACCCTGTATATGAGGGTATTTGGCCATGAGCATCAAACTCCAGCGCAGAGTCGTTCCTGTCGTGTCAGTACCAGCGACAAACAGATCTGTCACAGTCACCATTAGATTCTCATCGTGAAAGTATGTGTCCTTCTTACAGGATTGCTGACAAGCAAAAATACATAAAAAAATGTTCAATTAAACTTGTAATAATTAGAAAACTGAAACATAAAAAAAAAAAAACATTTAAGAGCCAAAATCCAACAGGACATGCAAACTTTGGAGGAAACAAACAGAAAAGTGGTCTGTGTTCTATGTGCGGTGATGTTCAGGCCTCGTTCATATGTGGAAATAAATGTGATATAAATCAGATATGTGCCAATGTGACTGTCATGTAAACGGGTAGATCGGATTCTCTGAGGCATTAGGCAACGTCTCCGCGGTTTAATGATGAGAGCAACCCGACGCGCATCTGCAAAGGGATGGATGGCCAGATGAAACGTCATAGGAGAGGAATGTGGACAAACATTGACCCATGTCAACATATCAAAGGTTGGCTTGCTCATCCTAAAATTTCGGACCCACTGCTCCTCGTTAAAGCCAATATTTAAACACAATATGCTCCCACCAGTCCTGAGATCTCTCCTGCACACAATAACTGAAGCATAGCTATGTGCAGGCTGCAATGATGGCACTTTTCGTCCTCCTCCGCCTCAAAATAATGGTGATGTTTGCCAAACTTTGCATATATAGCAGAGCTAGCATCAAGCATATTTCGTGTTCGTCCATCTGCGCAAGAGAATTTAACCCTTTAAGCATGTGCGATGTTTCAGATATTTAGTCCAGTCATTTTAAAGGACAACTCCGGCGCAAAATGAACCTTTGGTCTAATAACACATTGGTACCTAGTCAACCGTTCTCTGAGATTTGTTTTCATGATAATCGAATGTAAAGAGTTTTATCTCTAAAAGCTGTTTAGTGTACAACGCTAGTATATAGGGCATAGAGTAATGAAAAATAAAAATCACTAGTTAATACCACTAACAAGGCTCAAAATAGCCCCACACTAACACAGTAGTATAATGAGGGTCCCTACATGCAAACCGAAGCATTGAGAAATTTGTACGTGTACAGACAGTTTAATAAGAAGATATTTTATAAAGACAGTCCACTTCATGTATACAAGCGGGAGCAATCTTTGGAAAACAGTCCTCGACCAGTCGAACCACGAACGCCGTGCCAAGTGAGCTGAACTGTGACTTGTAATTTCAAATCTTCTGTTCTTTCCGGAAGAAAGCACTGAGCGCATAAGAGAAGCACTGAACGCAACAGAGAAAATAATTAAATAATTTTAAATATTTTAAAAGAGAGACTTAAAATACACACTAAAGAGATGGCGGATTATTCAACCTACGAACCGTTTATGTTTGATGGACGGTCTTATTTTTCGAGCCGGAATATACTGACGAAGAGCTGCAGGAGGTCCGTGAAAGGGCTACGAGAGAGAGAGAGCTACCGGTGGGTCAATGCCGCAACACAGCCTCGTACTTCGGGAAACTGGTGCACAGCAAAATCCCAGAGTTAAATTAACTCTGCTCAGAGAACATTTGGTCCCTCTCTACAGAGAGTTAAAATAACTCTGAATCAGAGTTAAAGTTAATGAGATACTTAAGTGATTAATTAAGTGATGATTGGGCATTAATGATGAACACCTGCTGTCAACAAGCAGAATCACTGAAGGAAAGAGAAACAACAAGAACAGAAAAAAAGATAAAACAAGATCTACAACTGACTTCTAGCCACAGCCTTAGATGAAATCAAATGTAGACAAAAGACATTAAATCTCTCTAGTTCTCAGCAGAGGAGGATTAAACAACTCCACAAACAGCATTACCAGCTTCACTTATTACTAACCGGTCTTATGAGAATTAACAGAAGTTTAGATGTTGATGATTTATTGAAAATGTTTGATGACCAATATGGCGATGAGTGTTTCCTTTTAGTTGGTCAGATTTGACTCTTGGCTTTTATTCTGAGTTTGTGGTTTTTGTAACAGAGTTTTACCAAAACATGTAGTTTGTTACAAAGAAAGCCAAAAACAATGATGATCAGGTGATATAGTTTTCTAACAACAAAAAATAGAATAATGCACTTATCTCATCATTGTCCAAAAGTGGTTATATGATGTTAATACATTATATTCACTAACAATACTCTCTTGCCACAGATCGGACATTCTGATTTTTGACTTTTAAAATACATTATGGGGATTTTTTTTCCAAGACACAGACATCAAGAATCAGCATATGAATCTCAACAATGGCAACATAATTCGATGCCGCAATGCATGCTGGGAGCCACAATAATATAAAACGTATGGCTCCCAGCATGCATTGCAGCATGAAGCATGTTACCATTGTTGAGATTCATATGCTGATTCTTGATGTCTGAAATCGAGTCAAATCTGACCAACTAAAGGAAACACTCATTGCCATAATGGTGATCAAACATTTTCAATAAATCATCAACATCTAAACTTCTGTTAATTCTCAATAAGACCTTCTGTAGACTTACAGAAATAAAGTCAGTCTGGTTAGTAATAAGTGAAGCTGGTAATGCTGTTTGTGGAGTTGATTAATCCTCCTCTGCTGAGAACTAGAGAGATTTAATGTCCTTTTGTCTACATTTGATTTCATCTAAGGCTGTGGCTAGAAGTCAGTTGTAGTTCTTGTTTATCTTTTTTTCTGTTCTTGTTGTTTCTCTTTCCTTCAGTGATTCTGCTTGTTGACAGCAGGTGTTCATCATTAATGCCCAATCATCACTTAATTAATCACTTAAGTATCTCATTAACTTTAACTCTGATTCAGAGTTATTTTAACTCTCTGTAGAGAGGGACCAAATGTTCTCTGAGCAGAGTTAATTTAACTCTGGGGATTTTGCTGTGTGGTGTACCTGCGGACATGGACACCAAACAGGAGTGCCTGTGTTGCACGGAGCGGGACCTGTTGAGTCGCGTCAACCAAGAGACGCATTGTTTTGTACACACTGTTAGCAATTTATGTAATTTTTACAATAAATTTTACAACAACATATTGTATTCATGTTTTTATTGTAAATGCAAATGCATGATGGGAAATGTGTGGACAGTCCTGTAATTTTATTGTAACTACACTGTAGAAGCATTATTTTACAGCCACCGCATAGCATTGTGGGATCGCTGCTGTTTGAATTTTGAAATTGCCCGGCGGCTGCCAACGGTACCAGAATCAAACATTTTAGGAAGAATCAGGTGTGAAACATTAACAAGAAATCTATTTTATAAGTCTATGGATATCCAGTCACAGCCTTAAAATCAGATATAGATAAAAAGAAGACATTAAATCTCTGAAGATCTCAGCAGAGGAGGATTAAACAACTCCACAAACAGCATTACCAGCTTCTAGGGCTGCACGATTAATCGCACGATGTTGTTATGCGCATCTAATCAGTAAAGCCGGTTTCTTGATTAGTAGTAAATCACATTAACCTGCTTTCAGATGGACGATATGATGCAGATATGAGTGTTAAATTAACACTCAAGAGTGTTAAAGTTAATGAGATAATTAAGTGATTAATTTAGTGACCATAGAGCATTATTGAAGACACCTGATGATAACAAGCAGAATCACTGAAGGAGAAAATCACAAATTGTAAGCCACCGTTATGGCGATCAGTGTTTGCTTTAGTTGGGCTCTTGACCCTTATACTTTAAGTTTAAATTTTGTTTGTCTGCTGTTATTGATTTATTACAGTCAAATGAACAAAGACAAGTGTGATCTGATAGTGTTGGTTATGTTTTGACATAATCATGCTGTGATCTGAAAAATGAAACCCATTCAGATGATCTGGTTTAACTTGATAGCAACAGTTTAGTGGTTCTACGGCATATGACAATTGTATTTTTCTTATAATCCAAAACATTTAATAAAAATTGTTCTGATCAAATCACTTTCAAATGCATTTATTTAGAAACACAGACATCAATAATCAGCCTGTGAATCTCAACCGCGGTGACAATAATAATCGTTGTTGCCACCAATCACAACTCATTAATGGCTTCCATCATGCATTGTGGTATGAATAAATTATGATCTGAATTGTCTATGTAATTTACTTTTCCTAATTGAATATTCTGCTCGTCACCATTGTTGAGATGCATTGACTGAATCTTGATATCGGTGTGTGCCTAAAAGAATGATTTTTTTTGTTTTTTACAACTTTTAAGAAATCCTTTATATTATATCTCAAATTCTGGATATTCATGCAGAATCTCAGTTATGCTACAACCAACAGCTTAAATCACAAACAACTAGTTCAAATGATGAATGTCATAATATAACCAACACCATTAGATCTTTTTTTTTTTTTCTTTGTTCATCTGGCAGGTATAACTCAGATACAACAGCCAAACAAAATCTAAAGTTAATAATATAAGGGTCAAGATCCCAACTAAAGCAAACACTCATCGCCATAACGGTGACCTGAAATTCCGGTTTTCTCCTTCAGTGATTCTGCTTTAGGTGTCTTCAATAATGCTCAATCATCACTCAATTAATCACTTAATTATCTCATTAACTTTAACACTCTTGAGTGTGGACTCATATACACTCCCAGGTGTGTTCATTTAACACTGAGTTTTTGCTGTGTACAAAGAGCCGTAGTTAACTGACAAGCTGAGCCATATCGCATTAAATATCGTTGGCGTTATGTCCTCGATTTTAACGCGATTTGGCTCAGCTTGTCAGTTAACTACGGCTCTTTGTAGTAAATGCCGCTCCATCTGAAAGCAGGTGAAGGTGATTTACTACTAATCAAGGAACCGGCTTTACTGATTAGATGCGCATAACAACATCGTGCGATTAATCGTGCAGCCCTACCAGCTTCACTTATTACTA